ATACGTGGATGATAACGTTTTAAGACACTGCCGCACCATTTTCCAAAGTGGCTGACCCATTTTACATTCCCACCAGCAGTGGGGGAGAGTTCCAACTGCTCTACAATTTATATGGAAGTGCAAAGGGCCCAGAAAAACTACGACAATCTGGAAGAACAAACCCGAGGGCTCACCACTCACAACAACTGACACTTCCTCTAAGGCTGCAGCGATGAAGCTGGGGTGGTGCTGGTAGAGGGACACCAGAGAGCCTGGTGTCATGGAACAGAAGTCACATCTGGCTAGCAGATTGGTGACAAAGTCCCCACTTTGATTCAGTGGGGAAGGATGGTCTTTTTACTAACTGGTGTGGGACAGACTGGATGTCCATGTGGGAAAAAAGGACAGCCTGAGGCAGAAACAAAAATCAATTTGAGATATAGCATGGACCTAAATAGGAGACGTAAAGCAATGAAGTGTCTAGAAGTCTAAGGAGAATATCCTCATGACCCTGAAGAGAGCACAGAAAGCAGTAACCCAAACAGAAAAGATCAACATGTTGAACTTCACTGAAATTAAGAACTGTTAATCAAAGACGTCATTAAGAGAGTGAACAGGTAAACTCCAGAGTGGCAGAAGATACTATGGGACACATATCATCCAAGACCAATCCTCCGAATGGACACCGAAGCACCGCATATCAGCGAGGACAAGGGCCTCATCACACAATGTGCCTTTCCCAGGAGAGGACCTCCAGATGGCCAATAAGCCAACGAACTCACGTTCATCATTAGTCATCGGGGAAATGCGAACTCAAACCACGAGTCTAACCCCCGTCAGAATGATTCCAGTGAAAACGTGCTGAGAACGCCAAGTGCCGGGGAAGGGGGCAAACTGGCACAGCCACTCGGGAAAACGTCTGTTAGAAACCTGCTAAAACCGACCGCGCGCATCCCGCGTGACCCAGAAGTCCTGCCCCGAGTACCATGCTTGGGCTACTCTGCTCCCGCGTCACTCTAGCTGAACCGAAACAACGTTTCCCAGAGTCCCGCTCGCCGTGTGGTCCCAGGTCAGCGTCGGCCACAGGAGAAATCTGCATGGGATCCTGCAGCTGGGGGGCAGCAAGCCCCAGCAGCACCTCCCACGGGTCCAAATTCCAGGCCAGCTGCGCGCGTGACTTTGTGCTGTGGGGTGCCCGCTTGTCTGTAGGCCACCTGCATCGCCAGCACTTGGATACAGCGAGAAAGACGCAGGCTCCATTTGGGTTTGCTCTCCCACGAACGGCTGTCTCTCCCTTCCAGCGGCCAGGGCTGCTGACCTGAGGCCCAACGCCAGAGGCAGAAGCCACAGCCTCATGGAGATTTGCAGGGTCTAACCGTATCTGTAACGATTCTTCTCTTACCAATAGTCGCTCTGCCTCTCGGCCTAAACCCTAACGGATGTAACATCCAAGAGGAAGGGGGGCATCCGTAACCAAGACATGCATGAAAATGTCCAGGGAAGCTTTATTTATACCAGCACCAAACTGAAAACAACCCAGATGTCCGTGAAGGGCAGAAGGGACGAAACGCGGTCTGTTTCTACAACAGAACACACGCCTCGGGCGTGAAAGCCCGTCAGCTACTGCTGCTCGCAATAGCACGGCTGCATCTCAAAACTACCGGCCGAGTGAAAGGAGCTGGGCACGAAAGGGCCCGTGCTACACGGTTCCATTTATGCGAGGTTCAAGAACACAGCAGACTCGTCTACGTGTTTGAAGCCAGCCTAGCGCTCCTCTCGCATGAGGGACCTTTGCAGGGTGACGGAAATGCCCTTGGGCTGCTTTTCAACCCGTCCATGAATCTTGACGCTCCTCCCATCAAAAGGTGGACTGTAATTCCTTTCCCCTCAAGGGTGCAGCAGAAAGCAGACCACGAAAGGTGACACAGCCTCCAGCAGGCTGTCTCAAGAGGTTCGGTCTTAGAAGCCAGCCCCGCGCTGGAAAGAAGCCACACGGCCACAAGGAAGAGGTATGTGTAGGTGTCCTAGTCCCAGCAGGGTCCCTGGCTAACCACCAGACACGCGTGGGAGCCTCCGGATGGTCCCAGCAACCAGCCTTCTGGTCATTCTGGCTGACACTGAGTTGTCCCATCGGAGCCCCGCCCAGGTTGCAAGTTCACAGGCAAAGTTAATGTCATCGTTTTAGCCCCTCAACTTCGAGGTGGTTTGGAACAACAGATAACTGGTACCGACTTAGATCTCAGCAGTGGCTGGCACCTGGCTGTTTACAGCTATACAAAGTCAGTGAGCTGATGAAAGCAGATCCAGGAGGGAGGAGGAAAGGGATCCTGCAGGAGAAAGATGGGGTGATCTCAGGATTGAAGAATTCCTCAGAAAAGAGGGGAAAGTTCTGATTCTGGGCAGAATAGCCCTCTCGGTGTGAACAACTAGGAAACCAGTCAAAGTATTTGAAACACCTATTTTCAGATATCGGCCAACAGGCAGCGCACGACTGTGATCAGAAGGAAGACAAATGTGGAGACGGCTCCGAGCAGCCTGCATCTCTGCCTGGAGGTACTTTCCAGAATATGGTGCAGGAAGAGGGGGCTCCTGAGCAGAACCAGTGGCCTCAGTTATCAGAGCTAACAAACCAACCGCAGAGAAAAAATAGAACGCCAGAAATATTTGATTAATCCAAAGAAACCAGGGATAGAGGAGAAAAGGAACAAAGAACAGATGGGACAAATAGAAAATAAATAGCAAGATGATAGACTTAAACCTAACCATCACGTGTGAATGGATTAAACAGACCAATTACAAGGCAGAGATTATGAGAGGGGTTAAAAAAGTAAGACTGAGGGACTTGGAGCCCGCGAGCCACAACTACTGAGCCCGCGTGCTACAACTACTGAAGCCCGTGTGCCTAGAGTCGGTGCTCTGCAACAAGAGAAGCCACCGCAAGGAGAAGCCCACGCACCGCAAAGAAGAGTAGCCCCCGCTCGCCACAACTAGAGAAAGCCTGCGTGCAGCAACGAAGACCCAACACAACCCAAAACAAACAAATAAATAAAACTGATTCTAAAAAAAAAAAAAGTAAGACTGAAAAAGAAACAAACAGACAAAAAAGAAAACAAAACAAAAAGCAACACCAAGCCATATGCATCTATAACTGCACTTTAAATACAAAGACACAGGTAGGTTAAAAGAACAGAACCGAAAAAGTTATACCACGGAACAAATTAGGCATAAGGAAGTTGGGAGTAGCCACTCATATTCGTACCAGATAAGGCAGGCGTCAAAAGAAAGAACATTATCAGAGATAAGCAGGGGCATTAAATGATAATAAAAGGGCCAATTTATCAAGAACACAACAATCCTAAATGTGTATGCACCCAACGATAGCTTCAAAATACGTGCAGCAAAATCTGACAGAACTGAAAGGAGAAAGGCAGATTCACAACTACAGCTGGAGACTGCAGGCCTTTTCTCTCAGAATTAAAAACACGTAATGAAAAGATATCTGCAAGATTCTCAAGTATCTGGAAACTAAATACACTTCTAAGTAAGATATCGGTTAAAGAAATAATCACAAGGAAAATGAGAAAACATTATAAACTGAATGATAATGAAAAGAGAACTTATCCAAATGAGTAGAACGCAGCCAAAGGTGTTCTCAAAGGGAATTTATAGCTTTAAAATGCTTATGTCAGAAAAAGCAAGGTTTAAAATCAGTGATTTAAGGTTATGCTTTAAGAAGCTGAAAAAAGATGAGCAAAATAAGATTTATTACTCCAAAACAAGTAAAAGAAAGGAAATGATAAAGAGTGGAAAATCAATAAAACAGAAAACGGGCAAACAATGGAGAAAAATCAGTGAAACCAAACTTGCTTCTTTGAAATGATCAATAAAATTGATAAGCCTCTATTCAAGCTGATCAAAAAGAAGGAAAGACAAAAATTACCAATATTGGGGATGAAAGAGGGGCCATTGCTATAGATCCTACAGACATAAAAGGGTAAGGGGGGATTATTAAGTTTATACCAACTGAGATGAAATGGGCAAATTCCTTGAAAGACACAAGTTATGAAAACTGACCCATGAAGAAACAAAATCTGAAGGGCCTCATATCTAATTAAAGAAATTGAACTTATAATGAAAAACCTTCCCACAAAGAAAACTCCAGGTGCAGATGACTTCACTGGTGAATCCATCAAACATTTAAAGAAGTAACACTGGGGACTTCCCTGGTGGCGCGGTGGCTAAGACTCTGAACTCCCAATGCAGGGGGCCCGGATTCGATCTCTGGTCAGGGAACTAGATCCCACATGCATTCCACAACTAAGGAGCCTGCCTGCTGCAACTAAGACTTGGAGCAACCAAATAAATAAATATTGAAAAAAAAAAAAAAAAAAGAAGTAACACGAAGGATACACAAGCCCTTTAAGAACACAGGAGGAGAAGGAGACACTTTCCAACTTATTTTATGAGGCCCTGACACCAAAACCAGATAAAGATATTACCAGACAACTACAGATCAATACCCCTCATGAACACAGATGCAAAAATTCTCAAGAGATATTAGCAAATGGAATTCAGCAATATATAAAAGGATAACACATCATGACCGAGTGCTGTTTTTATCTAAGGAATACAAAGTTGGTTTAATATTGGAAAATCAATTTATGGGGTTTACCACATTGACAAAGTACATCTATGACAATCCTATAGGTAGCATCATACTTAATGGCGAAAAGCCAACACTTTGCCCCCTAACATTGACAACAAGGCAAGGATGTCCACTTTCACCGCTTCTATTCAACATTTAACCAGAGGCCCTAGCCAAGTGTTAACAAGGCAAGAAAAATAAATGAGGGAATTCCCTGGCAGTCCAGTGGTTAGGACTCCGCGCTTCCACTGCCATGGGCCCAGGTTCGATCCCTGGTCAGGGAACCACGATCCCGCAAGCTGCGCGGTGCAGCCAAATTAATTAATTAACTAATTAATTAGAAAAGAAAAAGAACTGAAAGGCATACAGACGGAAAGGAAGAGGTGAGACTGTCTTTATTTGCAGACGAAATGATTGTGTGCGTAAACTATCCCAAGGTATTCACCAAAAAACTAGAGCTAAGGTGTGAGTTAGAGCCAAGGCCACAGAATGCAAAGCCAATATACAAAACTCAGTTGTGTTTCTATACACTGTCAATGATCAACTAGAAAACGAAATAAAAGTACCATTTACAATAGCGTCAAAATCCATAAAATAGGGAAAACTTAACAACCTGTGAAAGTACTGCTGGGTAGTAGTGTTGGGGATCTGCCGCCAGCACGGTGGCTTAATGGGAATGGGAACAAGAACCTCCAGAGGACCTGGGGGTGGGAGGCTAGGGTCTGGGTTTGGACAGTCAAGAACACCGAGAAGCACTGGAAGAGCTCAAGGCTTTCAGGGCCACAAAGCCTACAAGTACAGCCAGCGATCAAAGTGTATGTATTTATTACTCCAGGACAACTTGGACTGCACCAGTGCCTAGCTTCGTGGCGCATGTAGTGTGACTCATGATCGCAGACACAAAGACTCAGTTATACCAACGCTGACTTGCTTCCACAAACGTGAGTCCCATTTTCATTTTCCTTCCTCTCTGTCTTGCTGCCAACTCCCTGCTGTCTTGGGGCTTCTCACTGTCTGGGTAACACAAGGCTTGGGCCTAGCCAAACCTGGGGTAGTGGCCCCTCTGTCACAAGCAGTGCCCGGGCCTGAGGCCGAGCCTGTGGCCTCTGGAGCCCGACCTGGCTCGGTGGCCTGTTAGGCTGGCTCCCGGCTCCCTGGGGAAGCCTGCGGACGCTGGCCTGACGGGAGGCGCTGCTGCACTTGCTGGGGCCTCTCAGAACTCCCGCTTCTAGCTAGTGGACTGAACCACGGGACAGCCACAGCTCACTTTCCCCTTCCCAGTTACAAGCAGCTGGGAGGGCCCCGGCCTCATCGGTTCCCGTCATCAGAGTGGCTGCTTTTCCCCAGGGCTTCAGCAAGGTCGGAAAAGAAGGGCTAAGGGCTGCTGCTGTAGGCCTGGGCTGCAGAGGCCCCGCCCAGCTCTCAGGGGAGCTGGCGCCCCGCTAGTCCCACTGGACCACTCACCTCTCCTCCTTGGCCTGTGTGGCCAGCAGCCTTCAGACCTGCCCTCCTCCCCGCCACCGGCCCCTCCAACGACATCGGCTTTCCTCTCCCGCGAATGCTGGCCTCAAGGCAGGCTGTTGAGATGTCCTGCCCTACTGACAGCCGGCCGCAGCCGGCCCGGGGGGCCCTGAGCCCTGCCCGTGCCCGCGCCCCAAGAGCAGCAGGGCCACCGCCTGCCCTCCTCCGTGAGGACGGAGCCCCCAAGGCTGCCGAGGGTTCGCGAGCTGTGAGGACTTCCAACCGTGAGAACTTTGACTTCTGCGTTCAGGGGTCTGAACAGGCGGCATCAGCTCTGAAGCTCATCAGTCTCTTCGGGCCCCTGCCTGTCCCGGTGCTCCAGGCCCAAGTCTGCGGGGGGGACGCCAGTCGGTTAGCAAACAGGGGGAGGCACTCGAGGGCTGGGCTGCGCTTCCCCCTTGCTCCCGGGGCGCTCTCTGGAATGGAACGTAGCTGTGGGGGCTGCCTGTGTTCTGCGAGCACGGGGGCTGCTGGCACCCCCAGGCTAAGGGAAGGTGCGTGTCGTCAGGAGGAGGAGAGCGAGCCGGGACAGGGCTGTACCCAGAATACACGATGTCCCAAAGGAGGCGTGGGGGCCGGCCGGCCTCCCGGCCGCCGTTCGAGGGGGTGACGGGCTCGGGGAGCGGGGGCCCCATCTGGGCCCCAGCAGAACGAAGGCTCCGAGTGGCCCAGAGGCCAGCCGCCCGGCCGCAGAGCACAGTCCTGGGGTACCTGGGAGGGAGCTAGATGACAGCAGCTGCAGGCTGTCTAGGACCCCATCCTCGTACAAGGCCAGCTTCCGCAGCATCTTCCGTCGCGCCGGGTTGATGACAATCTGGGGGGGTAGTGACGACGTGGAGCCGCCCAGGAGCGGTCCTGGCGTGGAGAGAGGGCCCACTGAGCCACAGGGGCCGATGGCCCTGGAACTCCCTGCCGACACTTCTGGCCCCATGAGCCTTCCTGGTCCCCAGCCCAGCTCCCTGCCCTTCGGAAGGACAGAGGCCCTCGGCGCTCTGAGAGCGGGGGCCTGGAAGGGGCCGTGCTAGGGCCCTGGCTAGCTGCTGGGCCTGGAGCCCGGTCCCGGACTGGGCCTTCCTTGCCCCCAGCTTTCGGGGAGCAAGGTCCTGGCCTCTCCTCAGCCAGCTGAGGCCGCGGTCTGGGGAGATGAGACGGCACGGGACCGTCCTCTGTGGGCCTTTCCAAGGCCGGGTGGGGGGCCTCCCCGAGACAGTGGCCTGGAACTTGCTAAGGACACAGGGAGCTTAACGGTAGGCCCCACCCAGTTCTCTCCTCCCAGAAGGCCGGGGGTGGGGAAGATGGGGACTGCCACCAAAGGAGGCCGCTGGTCCCTCTTCTGGGCACGTGTCCCCAGGTACCTTCCACAGCTGTGGGCTGGAGCCCTGGGCTGCTCCCCCAGCTCGACTGTCTGGTGGCATCCCCTTGAGTACAGCCAGCCTGTCCGAGGGGTGCTGGCGCCCACACGGCGGCCCCTGGGCCAGGGCTGCCTGGCCGGGCTGGGCCCGGGGGGCAGCTCGGGGTCAGGTGCCAGGAATGCAGGGCAGCAGATAGGCCGGACGTGCTCTCGTCGCTCTCCACGGGCTGGTTGGCGCCTTTCTGCAGCCGCTCTGTAGCCTGGGCCAGGGCTCCCGAGGGCGCCGCCAGGGGCTGCCATGGGCTGGCACCGCTCAGGGTACTGCCAGCAGTGGACACGTAGGAGTTCTCCTGAGGGGAAGGGGGGCTGCGACTGGCGGCCTCTGGCTCCAGAGACGGCCCTGCCACTGCCGCCTGCAGCGTCTCCAGCTTCTGGTACGCCTGCGAGGAGGGAGAGGGGCTCTCAGGGCGAGTGGTCCTCACAGAAGGTGGTCAAACTGCACAGCGGCTCCGGGTCAGGGATGAAGAAGAGAGTTGTAGCCACCAAAGCTAAGGACTTAGAATGGCTTCTCTCTGTCTTCTAGGAAGCGAACCTCGCTGCCCTGGTGCCCTCGAATGGGGCTTCTTCCTCTTCTCAGAGACAGAGAGGTGGGTGATGGGGAGGGGACTCAAAACGGTAGGTGCAGTGGCGCAGCACAGCCAGAAGGGGGCGCAGTAAAAAGCCTCTCGCCTCCCTCTGTGTACCAGGCGGGGTTCAGTGGAGCTCCGGCCACTCCTAGCAGAAGCACAGGCAGGCAAGGCACATTTGGAGACTTCCTCCAGAAAGAGGTCTGCGAGGGGCTGTGTCTGGCTCCCTACACGGCAGTGCCAGGAATGTGGCATTTCCAGCAGGCCACGGTCTCCCACGGGTGGCTGGCATCTCAGCTGCTTCCCTTCCCCCTGCCTCACAGGCCTACCTGGGTCATGGGGGGTCTCCTCTTGGCCCGGCGGTGCAGGCAGCAGCAAGCCAGCTGGCCCAGGGCCAGGCCCAGCTCTGGCGGGCACGGCCCAGGCCTGGGGTCCAGGTGCTTCTTGTAGATCTGGGTGGCGATCGGGGCGGCCCAGGCATCTGCAGCCAGACCTGCTTGGAGTGTGGTCTGGGTGCTTTTCAGGGCCAAACCAGCCTCCTCGGCTTCCTCTTCAACCAGGTCTTTCTGCGGGACACGTAACGTGAGTGTGGTCACCGGGGGCCATGCCTTCTGCTGCGACCCCCAGACCCTCGTCGCTGGTGCCCCAGGCCCCAGGGATCCAGCTACACACACAGCACCCGGGCCCGCTTTCACAGAGCTGACTTCCTGGGAGGGGAGAGGCGCCGACATGCCTCTTAACCGATGGAAACTGCGGCAGGGAGGCCCAAGCAAGTGACACTTCAGCGGGGATCTAAAGGGATGAACTAGCCGGAGAGGGCGGAGCCGAGACGGCTGGGAACAGGACCAGAGGCCACCTTGAGTTCTGAGAGGGGAGGGACTGGCAGGAAAGACTGGGCTTGGCGGGGGGGGGGGGGGGGTTGGCCTTTCAGGCAGAGGGAAAGGCTCTTACAAAGGCCCTGGGGCAGGCATCGGGGAGCCGGCCCGAGTCTGGGGGACAGAGAGAGGGCTGCTGGCGGGCAGGTGAGGGGGCTTCCACAGCCTCCTCACGGTTACGAAAACTCGCTTTGGCTGTGGCACAGAGAACCAGGGGTCAGGCCCGAGGGGTGTGGTGCGCTGCTCCGAGGCGGTGCTGACACCGGGCGGGCGGAGCGGCCCACGTGGAGGAGGTCTCCTGTTTGGCTGCCCGGCTCTGGCACAGACCCACCAAGACCCGGCAACAGACAGAAATAGCCCCAAGCCCGGGGCGGAAGGCCAGGAAACACAGCAGCTTGTAAAGCGTGAAGCACACGCGCCAACCGAGCGCAGACCGAACGCAGACGGGCCTGGCGAGGAGCTGGGCTCCTGGCTCCAGGTCAGGCCCCGGGCAGCTTGGACCTGCTCCACAGCACCCGGGAGGGCTTCTCAGAGGCGGCCGCATTCTCTGCCACAGCCTCTCCCGTCCCCACGCGCCCACCCTGTTCTGTTCTCCACTGTGGCTGGCACCCTCCTCGCCCGCCCCCAGCCCAGGCGGGGTCTGGAAAGGCCCACAGCATCCAAGAGGACAGACAGGTTTCTCCTCAGCAAGGTAAATGAAGCCGTCTGGGGCCCTGCCTATTTTCAAGGATGAGTCAGCAGCGGCAGAGGCTGGCTCCCGTGGGGCACTGCGTTCCAGATCATTCCGCCCTCCAGGTCTATGCCTGTCTGTCGCCCAGAGCAGCACCTCCCGGCCTCACTGTCTCCCTCCCGGCCCACCTTCCTCCCTGCCCTGCCTCGGGAGGCTCACCAGATACTTGGTCTGGGCACCGTGCATCCTCACAGCCCTCTGGCCGGCCAGGGTCTCCAGCACCACCTGGAGAGAGGACAGGCTGGAGGGCGAGGCAGGCAGGCCCACTGGTGGGGGGAGGGGTGCACAGTGGATGGGGAGGCCCAGCCCAAAGAGGGGCTGCTGGGCGTGGACCGGGGCTGACAGGGGCACATCCCTCAGACAGGCACACGAGGACCGACTCTCAGCAGGGACAGAGCCGCAGCCGTGGGACTAAAGCTCTGGCGGTTTGGAGGGCCCACTTGAAACAAAAGAATTCAAAACTACAAACGTGAAACGAGGTGCGGGACCGACGAAGCGGCCCGCGCCGGGGAGGGCAGGGCCCTGGAGCCGAAGCTTCATCAGAGGGCCCAGCGGCTCACCACGCCGAAACTGAAGGTGTCGGTCTCCACAGCCAGCCTCCCCGTCTTGATGTACTCCTCGGGCAGGTACGCCAGGGTGCCACGCACAGTCCGAGTCTGGGCCACAGTGCTGCTCCGGCTGGGGTTGGCGCCTGCAAACCGGCTGAGACGGGCCAGGCCAAAGTCTCCCAGTTTGGGCATCAGTCTCTCATCCAGAAGGACGTTGGAACTTGGGGAGGGAAGAGAGTGGTGTGGGCCCGGCCTTGGCCCTGGCCCACTCCGTGACCCACCCCCCACCTGCCTGGTCCTGACAAAATCAGACTGCAGACAGTGGCTGGTGCGGCTGAGCGTTCCAGCCACCTGGGGCTCCGAGCACGTGGCCCCCAGAGCACCCTCACACGGTTCAGCCCCTGTTCATCGGTGGGGCCCGTCGTTGGCCTCTGCTTCCACACCTGTCCCACACCGGGTACTCAGTGACCCAGAGCCCCCAGCCCTGACATCCCCGACCTGAGTCTCGAGCGGGAGAGGGTAGGCCCACTCTCATGGGGGGCGCTCAGGGCAAGGCTTCTTGGGCCCAGACAGTGGGCCGTGGCGAGCAGGCACCACGGCTCCCTGCCGGCGGAAGGTTTGGGAGCGTGACCCCTTGCCGTAGACTATGTTCCTGCCACTCTGAGAGGCCCCGGGGGCCTGGCTGTGTCCCCTCCTCACCTCTTGACATCTCCGTGGATGAGGCTGGGGCTGTCTTGATGTAAAAACTGAATTGCCCGGGCCGTGCCCAGAAGTATGTCCAGTCGCTGAGGCCAGGAGAGAGGGGGCCAGGTCTGGGTCTGGAAGGGCAGAAGGAGCAAAGGGGCAGAGGGGAGGCTGTGGGCCACTGTTCTTTGACCCCCATCCTTCCCTCCACCTGTCACCAAGGGGTCTGGACGAGCAGTTGACTCTCTGGGCCTCAGTTTCCCCTTCTGGAAAACGAGGAGCAAAGTCTCCATGAGCTACTTCAGAAGAGGGTGGCGACTAAGCTCCTGCGGTGCTCTCTCTGCACAGCGCACGGGGCTGGGATCATGCCCTGGGGACCCCCCCCAGGCTCTGGCAGTCCTGGCTCTGGGGTGATCAGGATGTCGTCGGAGGCTCTTTCCCCGCCTCCCCGCACACAGCACGCTTATCCTGAGCCCTTCAGCGTGAGGTTAGAGGTGCTCCTGCCCTGTGTTCGGTTAGCCCTTGCGTCTTGTGGGTGCCTCCCTAGATGGGGCCCCGGTGCTGTCTATCGCCTCCTTCCCTCAGGGCAATGCTGACGCGACCCTTCCGCTACCCTGCTTGCAAAGGGGAGAAGCCCGAGTCAAGCTACTCCGAGTCCAGAACCCCCTTTCAGAGGCACCACGAGCCAGGCTTCTGGGCATGCGGGAGCAGCAGGGAGGGGCCCCGCTCGCAGAGGCCGAGAGCCCAGGCCCTGTGTCCCGCTCTGCCCGGGTGCCAAGTGTGATGCAACGTGCCAGCCTAGGTAAGGCTACCTGGACATGGAGGTGGTCTTCCAGGGAGCCGTTGGGCAGGAAGCCATAGACAAGGCAGTAGAAGCCACTCTGAGCACAGTAGCCAGCAAAGTCCACGATGTTTGGGTGACGAAATCTGCTTGGAAAAGTGGGGTCTGAGCACTTTGGCCCCCAGCATCCACCACGCCTTCCATCTGACCATCGTGGGGACAGTCCCTGCCGTTTCCTCAGCTAGCCTGAGCCTGGCAGGCTTTGGGAGACCAAGGGAGCCAGGTGCGTGACACACGGTCCTGGCGGGCCTCTCCCGCTGCCCGCACCAGGAGGGACACCACAGGCGGCTCACCGTGACAGCTGCTCCACTTCGGTCCGAAAGCTCTGCTTCACCGTGGTCCACTCCAGGTCTGCCTCCTGTTTTGGGCCCAGAACAAGCAAGGGGCGGGGGCCTTGGACTGGGAAATCAGAGGGCTGAAGGAGCCGTGTGGGGTAGTGGGGGGAGGACCAGAAAAGTGAGGGTCGGCTAACAGCCTTCCAGAGCCTTTGCCTGGACGCTACACACACCTCCTTTAGCCTCTTCACAGCATATACCGTGTTCCTCATCACAGCCCGGTACACACACCCAAAGCCGCCCTCCCCGATCTTCAGCTCCTCTGAGAAGTCGTGGGTGCCCTGGCAAATCTCACGGAGGGGCCAGCAGAAAGAGGAGTGGGCCCCCTGCAGGATGGACGCTGGGCTCTCTGGGCTCCGCTGTGGGAAGAGACCCCAGATCAGGCGAGGTCCCGCCTCCTCCCCTCTGCCTAGCCCACCCCTGCTGGGCCGGCTGGGGCTCCCCAGGGTACCAAAGGCTGCCTTCTCATCGCTTGTCTCAAACCTCTGGGTGGAGGCAGGACCCACCTACCTTGATACAGGAAGGGGCTGGCGATGGCAGTGGTGGCCGGAGGGCAGCAGGGCTCGGGACAGGGCCGAGCTCAGGGTCAGAATGAGTCTGGGAGCCTGGAAGAGCTTCATAAAGACACCAGTGAGAGGCAGGCAGAGGCCAGTGGCTGGATCCACAGCCGTGGCCAGTGTCAAGGGGCTCCTTTCCTCCGGTTCATCAGGCCAACCCCCGGGAGCCGCCTTACCTGGGGAGAGGAGGGTGGAGGCCGACGAGTGCAACTTCTGGGGGCTGGGGGCCGCGGCCTCAGAAGGTGCAGAGATGCTGTTAGGCCTCGGGGCGGTGGCGCTGGGGGGCAGAAGCGGGGCGGGAGGGTGCCCTGGGAAGCAGAGGAAGGAAAGGGCTGTTAGGCCCAGGCGGAGGGGGGGGGGGGAGGAGCTCCAGGGGAGGCCCTGGGCGGCCCCTCTCCCGAGGTCCTGGGGGTTCTGGAGGTCCCGGGGGCTCCGGGGCCGCGCGCTCACATGCCGTGATGATGTCCCGCGCACGGAGCAGCTGCAGGTGCGTGAGGATGCGCACGAGGTCGGCCACGCGGGCGTTGCGGTTGATCCAGGGCCACAGGACGCTGGCCGTGCGCTGCCCGGAGCGCTCGCATAGCCGCAGCTCGGTCTGGTCGCGTACGATCAGGGCGGCTGCGGGGCGGGGGTGCGTCAGGCCGGGGCGTCCGGCCCCCGCGCGCCCCCCGCCCCGCCCCCGCCGGCCCGCCACCACCCACCGAACTGGCACCAGTCGGCGGGCTCCAGGGCGTCCATCACTTTGTAGAAGCGGCACATGACCCAGGGCGGCACCTCGTACAGGAAGTGCTGGGCGCCGGGGACCGCGGGGTCTCCCGGGCCCGGCCCCCCGGCCATGGCCGCAGCCGCCGCCGCCGCCGCCGGGCCGGGGCCTCTCGGGGCCGCGGCGGGCGCGAGCCTCGGCCGGCCGAGTCCGCGGACACTGACTCACTTCCCCTTTAAGCCGGCCTCGTGCGTCGGCCGGCGGGGCGGAAGGGGCGGTGCCCGGGCCCTCCGCCAGGTCGCCCGCCGCCGCCGCCGTCACGAGCCCCGGCCACACGGGGGCGCCGCGCGCGGTCACTCCCAGCGGAGGCAGCGCCCCTGGGCCCGGCGAGGAGGGCGGGGCGGGCTGCCGGGAGGAGGAGCCGTCTGCGCAGGGCCCCGAGGGCTGGGGGACGACGGGCACGGCGCAGGCGTTCCAGAAAGGCTAGAAGCGGGCCTTGTGAGAGACGCTGGGAGGTCCTCTTCAGAAGTTTCGGTTTCATGCGGGAGGCTGTGGAGAGTGGTCAAGAGATCCAGGTGGGACAGGGTCAGATGGTGTCACACGAAGTCTCCCCGGCTGACTCCCCTCAGCTGGCCGTGAGGCTGGGTGCAGGAAGAACGGTCTGGAAGCTCAGAGCATCTCCACCCACCTCCTGGGCCCTGGATCCCATCTTTTCCGCTCCTTCAGGAACCTGCTCCAGCGATTGTTAGGTCTTTGCAGTACCTGCCATCTTTCCTTCTTCGCTGGCTCCTTCCCACTAGCACATAAAACGTGTTTACATGTCTTAGAAACAGGTTTTCAGCTCTGGCTGTCCCTCCTCTCCTGTCACACGTGAGGACGGCAGGCTCCGGCTGCTCCCACTCTCTTTTCTGAAGCAGGCACCAAGCTCCGTTCCCGGCCTGACGTCTCCCCACCTTCGTCCCACCAGGCTCTGCAGCCGCTGACGTCTCCGGACTCTCTGTTCCCTACCCCGCTGCAGCAGCCACCATTTTCCTGTCACCCCCCTGAACTTCTCTGGAGTCCGTCTCTTCCCCACAGGCCCACTGCCCCCTACTACCTCCTGCCTAGATGAACCTAGATCAAATGGCTTCCCAGAGGCTTCCCTGCCTCATCTCTGCCTGAGGGGCCTTCCTTAGGGACAAATCACTCCACACCGACTTCCTGCTTAAGACCGTCCCTCGGTTCCCGAAGCCCTCCGATGGGATCCCGGCTTTTCCGCACGGCCTCCACCGTTGTCACGATGTGGCCCCTTCTTGCCCACCTCTGTCTGGCTCTTTGCACACATCAGCAGCCTTAAGCCATCCAGAACTCCTTGGGGTTCCAAGAATGCGCCGGGGCTCCCGCACCCACGAGTTTGCACCTATAGCTCCGTGGCCCTCACGCGAAGGTGGAGCTCAAGCAGCTCCTCAGGTAGAAGCTGGGTTGAGAGCCCCCGGGCCCCTCGGGCGGAGCTGCCCTCAGCCCCTGCTATGCCTGGTATCCCTGGTGCGTCCTTCTTCAGCCTCGGCACTCAACTGCCTCCCCCACCAGATGGGGGAAGACTCCCCCAAAGCAGTAAGGGTGGCTTCCTCTTCTGTCTCTCCAACTGGATGCACGCTTGAAAGGCAGCAGGTCTTCCCTGGCCACCCCCCTTGCCCTCTGGATCCTGACCCCAGAGGGCTACTACCCCCCTCCCCGCCCCCAGGCTGTCCATCCACAGACTTATTTAAGGCTCTTTCCAGAAAACAGGTCCGCCCAAGATGGGCCTCCGTTGCAGCCTCTTCCTAGAAGCTGCAGCCAACGCCGGCCACTCCCAAAGAGGAGGCCAGCCACACCCTGAGCCCCAGTGGCTTCCCACGGGGACAGCCCTTGCCGAGAGTACCAAGCCGAGGATGGGAAATTGTTGGGCACGCACACACTGAGGGAACAGGGACTTGCTTGGTCCTACTTGCTCACTGCTGGACTGCAGCTCCTGGGACAGCCCTGGCACCCGAGGGATGCTCAGTACGCACACAGGGCGAATTTCAACCCTTCGTTTTAATGTTCCAGGCCAGGACTGTCTAGTTCCTAGTAGGTGTGTCCACATGTGCCTGTGATTCTGGACTCTGAGCACCTGTCGTCCGCTCCAGGCCATCGACAGCCTGATGGAGGACGGCTGTGGGGATGCCGCCAGCTCCTGAGTGCCCACAGCCTCACGGGAAGCCAGGGAACACGGGCAGCCGGAGCCAGGTCAGCAGAGGCCATGGCAGGGTCTCAGGCAGGAGGCGCCAGAGGAGTCGGAGCTGGGGGTGAGGGGGTGGGGGGTTTCCAAAAGCACCTTGGCACATCCAGGACGAGGGGATGGCCCTGCCCTGGCCCTCGGGGAGCCCCGAGAGGGGCCGGTGCGGGGCGCAGGCTGCCTTTTCCTCCCGTGGCCGCCCCCGAAAGCGGCTGGCTTCTGCGTGTTCGGGGACAGCCAGAGTGGATCAGGAAATGCACCACCGTGCTGTCCTAGGAGCTGTCTGATAATGAAAGCCCAGACCTGGAGTCACTTTCACAGAGAGATTTATCGAGAATGCTAACAGCACAGGATACAGTACTTCCCAACAAAAGGTGCGAACGCGTCACTTAGAAAGGCATGCTGAGTATTCTTGGCTTTCACACGTATTAAAAAACTTACAAAAATAAAATAAAACTGCGTGCTGCCCATCTTTTCAAATAGTAAAAGAACCTTATGAAAAAATCACTTGATTTTACAACAAAAGACACAAACGGACATTTTTATGTAAATTTATAAGGCAAACTCTTTATATAATAAATAGGTTACAGGGATTCAGTGGGGGGGGGGTGTTTTTGAAACGTATACAGGTACATTCAGACAGGTTTACTGAAATGGTACAAATTTCCTTAATAAATTGCCTTTTGTTTTTAAATATATCAGTGCTTTCAGTCATTTGGCTATACACAAAGAACCTTTTTTTGAACACTACAAAAAAGCAATCAATATTTTTTGTTTTTAAAACGACCTACTTATTTTTCTAAAGTAATTGTCCCAAAACACAAAAACTGAAGGTGAATGCGATAGAGGGCTTCTGGAGACATCTCCAGCCAAGTCTGTCCTGGGCGGCTCCCCACGCCCCACGCACACCTCTCCCGCCCTTGGTCAGGCTTCTGGGCTTCGGGGCTGGAGCCAGCTCCCTCTACACAGGGCGACCTGTGTCCCTGTGACTCAGGAGGAGGCAGCAACCCTGCCTGGTTCTTCCCGCTCCTAAGCCCCATGCACAAATGGTCACTAGGGTCAGCACTGTCCTTGCCTTTCAGAGGAGGGGCCCCCCGGGCGCTAAGGGAGCACGCGTCTGTCCCTGTTCCATCAGCCCTAAACAATGGGAGGTAAACGGCTTCTTTGAGGAGGATCGGGTTTTGCCATGAAACAAGAAGGGGGTTTCATGTCCAAATTTTGCTGGGGATCGGATGACAGTAAAGGGAGTGCGCCCCCCTCCACCATCATCTTCTCGTCCGGGAAAGCAGGGGAATCGAGAGGTCACGTTAGTGTCGTGCACTGCGGGATGGGGTGGGATGTGATGATGGTGCCCTGAACAGTAATGCCCACCCTGAACAGTAATGCCCTGTCAACATACACCTGACCTGTGGCCACGGTGGAGGTCTCCAGGGAGATGGCCATCCTCTAGCTGAGCCCCGCCCCTCAGGCCCACCCCAGCCTTCTCCCACTGAGGCGAGGTTGGCTCTGCTCACACCCCTCCTGGCTCCCCTTGCAAGAACATCAACCTTGTCTGTCCTTAAAAAATAATAATGATGCTAATAACCTGGCGTGGGGGGGGGGGGGCGCAAAAGAATTCACTGAGTGGAACAAAACCTGGTTTTGCTCTGACTTTGCAAATGGCAGCACGTCAGCTATTCGGTCCGTTGGCTTTAGGCTTAACTTCTTTGGGTGGCTTCTGGCTGATCTGGGCAGGGGTTCTGTCTTTGGATCTCCCCTCCTGGAGAGAAAGGACAGACCCTCTCCTCTCAGTTACCATCCCCTCCCTCCGAATTCTTTTGTTTGTAAAGAAAAGGTGTCTAGAAGCATTTGTCTCTGGAACAATTACTTTAAACGTGGTTACAATACAGACTTCAGTTCAAACACAGAAGAGATTTACTTCGCAAAGTTCCTTTCACCCACCAAAAATTACACAAATATAAGCCTCAACACCACAGTTAAGAGGACCAGTAGAGAGAACCTCATGTTTGGAACACAAAAGGAGAAATAAAAACCAAACCAAACCCAAACAGAAAAACCCCAGAGAGACGAGGGGAGCGTGGAGGAGGAGGGGGAGGAGCGCAAACACAGCACACGTTACAGTGTCCGGGTACACGGAGCCCAGTGCGAGGAGAGGGCTCGGCACACACTGAGTAACAGTCCTGGTGATATTTGGTCATGTATTCATCAACTACTGACTCTGGAGCGGCTGTTATTGATTGAAGCAGTGACAACTCAAACGGAAAAGGAGGCCTTGGTAGCAAGGGAAGGAGCAGGCTTCGAGTTCTGCAAGCCTTTTGCACTCCACCGTCCAGCTCCCCAGAAACACTGAACTGGGTGGGCCCTGCTGCTTCGGGCGGGCAGGGCGAGAGGTCACCGGGTGAGGCTAACTCGGCGCTGATTTCAGATCTCGGGCAGAAAGCATATGCGCGCAGATAACGCGGACACCCACCTGCGAGGCCGGACAGCAGCGGCGGCGGCCTCCTCTGCCCCCGGCCCCGGGCTGGGTGGGAGAGCAGGCAGGGACCCACCGCTAATACTGAACGAAGGCGGAAGCTGCCCTCGCCCAGGTCCTCCGAGGGGCCCGAGGGGAGCCTGGCCACCCAAAGGGCCTACGAGTGTTTCTCTTTTGGATTCAGGCCTCAGAAGTAAGTAATGATGCGGGGAGGGAAGCTTTTGGCCCTGGTGATTATAATGCTCTCTGCTTTGGAAGAACAAGTTTCTGGATTTATTTTTTTTTGGTGTTTTTAATTACTTAAAAAAAATGATCAAAAAGAACTGTTACGGCTAAACTCTCTAGCAGGTATTGCTCATTAAGAATTACAAAAGCAAATGCAATTACTCATAGGTTGGAGGAGAAGAGGAAGGGACATTTCTGGAGTCTTCGCTACCTCCTGGAGGGGACCCACTGAACCTCATGTGTGGTTCTGGGGTCCCTGGTGTTCTACCTGGTACGGCTCACACTTTCAGAGACAAGACACGGCCTTCTGCCTCCCCTCCAGCCCCCAGACTCGGCAGAGCGGGGGCCCTGCCGGTGGGGAGGCCTGCTGAGCCGGCTCTCCACATACCATCACTCGGACTGGATCGCTGGAAGGCGTGGGGGGACCAGGCCACCCCCATGGACTCCAGCTGCCCCACCCAGAGATCGAAGGGGACCAGGCAGTGCCATTCCGGGCTTTGCCAGAGCCAGGGAGCACTCTTGCACCCACCCACTGAAATGAGCCGTCCCGCAGTGGCACCCTGGAGCCTCTCTCACAAGCTCGGGAGAAACAGTGCAAAACCCGGTGCTGCCCGGAGCCTCCTTCACTCGGCACTGGGAAGCCCTTGAAAGAAGCGAGGAAAGACCACAGATCTGCTTGGACCGAAGTGACCAGCAGACGGATTTGTCGGTTTTTTTTTGTTTTTTGTTTTTGGTTTTTTTTTTTGTTTGTTTTTGTTTTTGTTTTTTGTGTTTTTTTTGTTTTTGTTTTTAAAATTTTCCCTTGTCCTATGCTATGGTTATCAGAAATATTGTAATTAAGCAACAGGTATAATTTTAACAGGTCTTTTTTTGTGTGTGGAGCCACAAGCAAAATGAGTTTATAACTGTGCAATATACAGATATATATATATAAAAATTCAACTGCTTTGTGTGTCTAGTCGGTGCATTAAATAAAAGGGACAGAAGAACTTAAAGCAAAACTAAAAGGCAAAACAAAAGCCCAGGATAGAAGAGACCAAGCAGGTCTATGCGTATAGTCTATAAGATACTGGATATAATCAGGGTCACCAGGAAGAACAGCTTTGTCACTTGACACACAAACACTGTGGGGAGAGGAACTACCAGTGGGCAGGGGCCAAAGCTTGTGGCCTTTTGATTTCATTTTCTCTCACTGCTGAGCAGGACCTGAGGAGAGGGAAGATAGAGGGGGACCCAGCACAGCAAGGTAACTTGCAACTTTCCCAAACGTTCTGAAACTCAAAGCTGGATTTCCCTCCGTGAGGGTCCTCGCCCCTGCCCTCCCTCTGCCCCGGGGGCGCTTGCGGGTGAGGGGCGAGGGGGCACACCCCTTCACCCAGGCCCCAAGAAGAGCAGAGCCGGGGGCTGTCCTTGGCGGCAGGCCGCACCGCAGGCAGAGGCTGGGGAAGAGACATCACCCTAGTTAGAACTTCTTTTTCCTGACAAATCAGCACTTGGGGTAGGCTCTGCGGAAATCAGAAAGGAGCAAGGAACAGGTGGTGCCGGGTAGCGAGAAGGTCACGGGCCTTCGGATTCACTGGTGAGCACTCTCCTTCCTTCCCACACCCAGAGCTGGGCTCCTGCAGCTTTGCAACAGGCAGGCCTTCTCCCAGGACCGGGTGGCAGCTGAGCCCTCAGGGACTGCTACCCACGGAGAGACGGGCTCTCCAGTGACACGAGGGCCCTAAGGCTCAGATCCAGCAGTTTCAGGCCAGATTCCCCTTCACCCGCAGCACTTGCCACACATTAGGCCAGGCTCCAAGTACTGTTAGATCAGCGTTTTTGCAAAAGCTTGCTCTTATTCACTCAGACATCGAAATGTAGTTTCCTGCTAAATGTTTTTTAGGTCCTCCTTCTGAATTGTCGACAAGGGGTTTCAGTGTTCACTTTTTTCCCCTTTAACATGGAACTTTAGACCCTGGGGGAGGCAGTATCCTAGAGAATTGTTAACAATTACACTATGTTTTCTGAAGATTGATAAGTTTCTAAAAGAGAAAGAAGCAAAAACCGAGACTCAACAAACCCCTCGAGTGGACGGGTTCACGGATGAAGAGAAGTGAGATGGGGCCCTTGCAGAGAGCAGCTAAGAGCCAGAACACGACGTGGCGGGGCCATCGGGCAAGAGAGCAGGGGCTCTACTACTAGGCCTGGTAACGTGGCCGTGCTCCCCCCCACCCCGGGGCCACTGGCCGGGACTCAGGGGACTGGCTAGGCCAATGCACACAGGGCTCTAGAGAGAGCTTACTTCCCGAGGTCTGGATGGCCTGGGCCACCCGTGTGGGAAACTCGCATCAGGAAACAATTTGGGGCCACGACCCTGCTAGGGATGGCTGGACAAAGCTAGAGCTGGTATCTGTGACCTCCCCTGGTCCCGTCACCCCAGAGAGCCTGGCAGGAACGCTCCGGAAAGGGGGCACAGAGCTCAGCTGCCAGGCTCCACTTGGGTTCCAGGAGATCCAGGTGGCCACACCTGGTGGATTCACTTCACACCCTCTGTTCCCTCCTGGGCTTGAGCTGCTTATTAAAAGTTACTAAAAATCCAGAGGTCCCGTCAGCTAAGGAAACTCCTTTCCCACTAAACGTGGTGGTTTGTTTCTGGCTAGTACCCTCCTTCACGATGGCCATCACGACGATGACAAGCTAGGCAGAGGGGCAAGCGACCACGTGGCGCTGTTCCAGGTCCCACCGCCACCATTTGTGGCCTCTAGCCTGGAATGCCACTGCTGAACAAGACTGGTGCCGGCACCGGCATGGGGTCTCAGGAGTAGAAGTCAGGTGCTGGCTGTGGCCGTTCCGGCGCCCCCGGGCCACCGCCACGGCTTCCACTTTCCGGGGAGCTGAGGGGATGGGGTCCTTGGCTAGTTTGGCACTGACGGACTAGGGGCCGTGGCATTTCTGAGTGTCTCCTGTGCCTTTCGATACGGGAGTACAGCAGCAGCGGAAGGGAGCTGAACTGGATGGAGCCTGGCTGTGGCCCAGTGTCCCCAGCTCACTGCAGTGTCAAGGCCAGCAACTACACTGGTTAGGACAAGCCCACCAACGGGCAGGGCTGGGCTGGGCCGGGCACGGTGGGAGGAGCTTGAGGACACACAGAATTCCATCAGGAGAGGAGGTAGTCACTAATAACCAGAATGAGGGCCGGGGAGACCGAATGTGACTCTGACCTAGCCCACGGGTGTCTGAAAGCTGTCGGTCAATTCCTGCCTTCTTTACACAGTCCCTAAGAGATGGCCCCCGATCTTCATGGTCTTCAAGTACACACAAAATCGAGGTCACACCTCCAAATTGGGCCAGACACAGCTGGTGAGAATTCCGTGGCTTAGGCCTTCCCTCCAACCTCCTGTCAACCTGACTCCAGGACAGAGGTGGTATGGGAGCTTCGGGGCCCCTGCCCAAAGGTGACTCACTCGTAATGCCTTTATTTGGGGAAGAGGGAACGTGGAAGAAAGGGGGGCGGGGAGAGAAAACCCTAAGGTGCCTCAGGCGCCACCTGCAGCCTTGAAACTCTAAGGGAAGAAGCTGGAGAGTGAGGGAGGCTGCAGGTCGGGCCAGGCCCAAAGAAAATGACACTTGAAACTTTGTGTTCTCGACCGCCAATGCCAGTCAGCCCCAGAATGAACTGTTATGGGTGAAAGGGGGGCAATGGCAGGCCCAGCTCTCTTCTGCCCAGGACCAGATTGTACCAAGCTGATGGGGAGGCCAGCTCTTGATACTGGTCCCAGGAGCCACATTTTACTGGACGAAAAGTGTAATTAATGCCTAAAAACCTGACCGAGCAAAAGAGATGGTGCCCCCACAACAAACGGGCTGGACACCGTGCTCACGTGAATAAGAGTCCTCTGGGGGTTACCAGGAGTGCGAGGCCACTGCAGGGTCAGGAGCCTTTTGTCCTTGGAGGAAGAGGGATCCCGAAGGACTCTCCCCCTACTCCGACGCCCAGCCCTTCCTGGGGAGGAGTCATAAGTGAAGCCCGGAGGGTCGACAGCAGAGCAGGTTTGGTTGTGGGACTTGCTTCTGCAGCATCAAGAAATGGATACAAAAATGCTAGAAAGGCCAGCTACGACTCCACAAACAGAACGGGGCAAACTCCCTTGCTTCTAACCATTCTGGGAGAGACAGACATGTTTTTTTCTTAAGCTACTGATTGGAACTGTCAACTATGGGTCCTGATCACTAAGGACTGGCAAGGAAGTGCTAGACGGTTTCTAAGATGTTTCACTCCTTCATGGTTACACCGCAGTGAGGAAGCCAGGGGACAGTAACTGAAATACACGAGACAACACGCACTTGACAGTTCATGGCAGCAGCTCACATGGGACGTGCTTGTGGGTGTTTCTGGAAGCATAAGACTGCTGTCTCGTTTGCTACTTTGATAAGGTACTTCTCAGTTGGACAGATTTAGATAAGAGACATCTCTGTAAACACAGAAAAGGATATACCAATATGATGAAGATATGCAGTTAGATAAGGACTTCCTGAACAGAGGGTGAAAGCACGGGATCCTGAATTGAAACTGGTCAATGAACACCCCAAAACAAGCCCAAGCCTCTACGCGCCCACGCCACAGCCCTGGTGCACACGTGGAGATGCGTGAGGTACGAGCGCACCCCGTCTCCCGCAAGCAGAGGCCACACGGGGCCCGCAGAAAAGAACCTGTGCTCTGAGGAGCAGCAGTGGGGCGTCTGCACTTGCTCTGCCTGCCGCCCCGCCCGACCACCCCGCCCCTAGCCGGTCTGGCAGAGGCCAAGGTCAGGGCTGGGCCACTCAATGACACTGGCAGGCCACAGTGGGTCTCTGTGCTGCCCTTGGCTTCGAAATCCATATCCGGCCCAACTTCTCCCTCCCCCACTTCTGCTGAGTGGGAAGGTTGAGAAGGCCTGGGATCCGGGGTCTGACCAGGGAAGGGGACTCCTAGGAGAGCAAGACCTTGCCACTCCCTTGCCCCTCGGAGGCCGAGGCACACTAGGGCCAGGTGGATTTAGCAGAGCCTGGGGCTTCCTCAGGGCTCAGAATGGGTGGGAGGGGGGCTGGGGCTGATGGCAGGAAGGCCAAGGGGGGTGAGTTTTGGGGCCCTGAGCTGACAGCGTCGGCTCAGGGTACAGCTGGGCACTGCGGCTGCCTGGAACAGAAGGGATGAGGGTGGGGGGAGGGGAAGAAATGAAAGGATGAAATGAAAGAAGGCAGAAATTGAAGGAGAGAAGAGAAACCAATCAGGAAGTCCTTATAAATTGCAGCAAACACTTAGAGTTTCGGAGCTTCGTGGGAACCCTATGTGCTGAGCCCACTTTAAAACAAGCGCAAGTATATACAGATCCAGGTAGTTGTCAACACCGTCACGTCTGGTGGCCTGAGGGACAAAGTGTCACCAGTTCAAGCCAGTTTGCTCTCAGAGCGTTTGTTTTGAAGTGGGAACATGAAGACTCAATAGTGCAAATAGTTCTAAGCTGTCCCTAGAGGAGTTAGAATTGGAAAGTTTTGGAAGAACATTTCCCCCTCCTTCCCCCTGGCCCCTGCCCCATCTACTAAGGCTCTAACTACCAGTCACAACTGCTCTGAGCGACTAGGAATCCCTTCCGCCTGGCCTGCTGCGCTCGGCGGTCTGGAGCCTGGGCCGGCCTGCCTGGGCCTTGTCCTGCGGCCTTGGCGGCCTCTCTCTAGCGCCACCCGCGGGAGGCCAGCCCTGGGCCATCGTCTCCTCTGGCTAAGGCCAGTCTACACCCAGCGGCTCAAAGGATGACTCCTTCCTAGCCAGGCCAGAACTGGGGCGAACAGGTGCTACTTCCCCGTCCTGTGAAATGTCCTTGTCGATTTTGGATTGGGGCCGGCGTGGGGCCAGGTTTGTGCCACCACAGGTGGGATCACACGGGCTATAGCCACTGGCCATCCGCATCTTCTCTAAAGGATCCACCTGCCTCTCTTGCCTCACACCTCCTTGTCCCGACGTGGGTGGGAGTGGGCGAGGCGGGGGAGCTGGAGGCCGGGCAGGGTGGGGGGAGGAGAGCTGAGACTGGGGCGCCAACGGCACCAAAACCAGGAGTGTCCTCTCAAGTGCTCTCTGCCCCTAACGACCACGTGGGGGGGCTGGGTGGGAGGGAGGTGCAGGCGCACCCTAGGAAGCCTGGGCAACAGCTTGTCTGGTCAGTAGTATCTGCAGCAAGCCTTGTTGAAGGAGCCTAGTTTAGAAAAGTGCAAAGCTACTTCTGGCCCTGGTTAGGTCTTCAACCTGACTGTGCTTGTCGGTAAGAAAAACATCCCCAATGCTCCAACTACTCCCACCCTGAAGCCACGAAACTCTAAGTTTACTGAAAGAAAAAAAAATATTTTTTATTTCAGTTAATCGGGAAGCTTTGTCAGAGCCCTACCCATAAGGAGAAGAGACAACAGCTGCCTTTATTCTTGTTGGTTTGCTTTGCAATCCGCTCTGTGTAAAGTCAGCTAACTCTCTCGGTCACGGGCGTCCGGCTGTCCACAGGCTCCTCTCTGTTTGGCCTTGGCATGGAGGATGAGACAATGTCTTTGCGCTCTCCCTCCCCTCGGTGTTTGTACTTTTCTGTGGCCGCGGCGGCGGTCGTGAGCGCGGGCTGAGTCTTAGCTGGCTCCTTGGGGCAGCCGTCGCTCTCCAGCGAGCCTGCTCTCGGCATCTTCTCCTCTTTGCAGACGCTGCTGCTCAAGTCCTGGGGCTCGGGGGGGCTGGCGGGGGCCTCGGAGCTCTGGGGCTCCGGCGGGGGCGGGGGCGGGGGCGGGAGCAGCGGCGCGGGTGCCTTCGGGGGCTCCACGTGGTGGTGGTGGTGGTGGTGCTCCTTCTTGGGGGGTGAGGAGGCGCTGCCGCTGCGCCCCTTGGGGCTGCTCTCCTTGCTTTTCCGCCCGGGGCTCTTGCAGGTCTTCAGTCCCTTCCCGCTCTTCTCGCCAAGGGTGGACACCAGCAGGGGCTTCACCACCTCCTTCACCTCGATGCTCACCGTCTCCCGGGTCTTGCGCTTCTTGATGGGCAGCACGGTCTCCTGCACAGACCGGATGGAAGACTCCTTCACGGCTTTCTTCTTGGCCTCGGCGGCGGCAGCCGCCACCACACTGCCCGGCTTTCGGCCCCGTTTCTTGGGAATGGCCTGGGGGTCAGCCTCAGCTTTTCGCTTCCGGCCGGGGCGTTTGATAACCATGACTTGGGCCGACGTGGTGGCCCCGCCCCCTTCGGCCTTGCTGCCCGGCGAAGCTTGGAAAGGCATCTTGACGAGCAGCTTCCCGGGACTTTTCTCCAGGACCCTTTTCACCTGCACGCCCTCTGATGCTGCTGCCTTGGGTCTCGTGGTGCCGCTCCCTTTGGGGCGTCCCCGGCCTCTGCCAGTTCCTGGAGCTTTGGGAGATTTGGGCTTCTTAGGTGGTTTCTGCTCTCGCCGGGAGGGGCTCCCTCTCCCAGTTACCGTGAAGTCAAAATCATTAGGGTCCAGGGAGGTGTCGCCTACCTTTTCGAAGTATGCAATCAGCTCCACTTTAGAGCGAAAGGCTTTTCCCTGGGGACTGTGGGAACAAACGGAGAGACACAAAGAATGATCAGAAGCTCCCACAGCCATGTCAGAGATGGGCAGGGGAGAAGGTGGTGGCGGGCCCTCTGACGGGAGACATTCTGCAACTGGCACGCCCGACGATACAGCTGAACAAGAGTCACATTTAAGAAAAGCTGAGATGAGCTAAAACTAGGGAGCTGCGGCCTCGGTTACACAGGAAGCAATCGGGTTGCCCAACGGCCGTGGGCGCCCGCGAGGCCTGCTCTGGTGCCAGAACGGCTTGGTGCTGACTGGATGCCCACGAGCAGCTGCCTGCCACCAAGCTCCTCTGGCCCCCAAAGGGGTCTGGCCTGGGGACCCTGTCTAGCTGTCAGGCTGACCTCGGGTACGCTGCTTAGCCTCTTTTGGAATCAGTTTCCTCACCCGTCAGTAGGATAACGCTTTGCTCACCCTTTTCTGAGTTGCTGGAATTAAATGAGGCTGTCTGAAAGCAGCCTTTGAAAACTGCTAACCTTTCTGGAACCATCTAAGGGGAAGAACTGAAATGCACGCATTCACACTCGTCCTCTGAAGCTCTGGCTTCGAAGTTACTCTGTTTGAACAGGTAACACCCGACGACCAGCTCACAGCTGGACAAAGGCCCAAGGGACAGCGGGAAAGGCACACGGAGCCCATCTGGGTCTCTCCCCAGAGGCCCTATCAGAGAGCCCATCTGTCCCAACATGATTCACAGAGCAGACTGAGCCCTATGAACTCCTGTTTCTTTGGGTTCATGACGCAATGTCAGAGAAGTACTGTCCCAGAAAGAAGAGGTTAACAGGTTCTGAGGAGGGCCCCTCAGCTGGGAGATGGCAGCGAGCCCAGGGAGCTCCCTTGCATCCCCAGCCCAGGCCAGTGTGCACGGCAGGACCTTGCGTCCTCACTGCTTCCCAGGAGGCCTCTCCTGGTGCCCTCACTGAGGCCCTGGGTAGGCCCTACTGCTATTCCAGCTCCAGATGAGGCCTTGACGGCAGGTGCGGGAAAGCCACACTCTGCTACCCCGGGCACATCTCATTCAGGGCGGTGACCTACGTACGCGGTCATTCCAAGCATACCTGGTCGCGCCCGCAAGCAGTGGTCACTACTGAAGCCCCTGACCCGAGGTGGGGTTATGCACACACATTTTCCTGATCAAGGAGCAGCAAAGAGCTACCACTCCAAGGGGTCCCCATCAGTTTTTTAGCACCGGTCCCTGACCCCCCGCCCACCCGGCCCTCCCCGCTCTGTAGAAACAGGAGTCACCCTTACTTACTTGATCAAATACACATCATACTTCCCAGCGGAGCGGCCAGATTTCCTTTGCTTAAGCTTTCGGGTCCAACCTTCAGGCAGAGTGGGGTCGTCGTACATGGGTCCCCGGTCGCGAATGATGGAGCGCCGCTGCTTGGGGGAGGCCGAAGCTTCCGGCACGGCTGGGGCCGAGCCCGACCCTTCCGAGGTCTCTGCTTTACCTGCCTCTGCCGGCTCAGCAGAGCGGTGGGCCGCTGGCTGCAGGGGCTCATGCTTGCCCTCTTTGTCTTCTTTCTTATCCTTCTTCACCTTTTTAAACTTCAAAGGTTTATCCTTCAGGCCCTGGAGATCCTGTTCTTCTGACTTTTCTTCCCTGAAGTATTAAACGAGTACGTAAGTATCACGGAGAACACACTGGTTTGCAGAAACAGTGAGCAAAAGCAGGCCCCGGGCGCCCCAGCGTGGGCAGGGCCCTGAGAGAGGGGCTGCCCTGCCAGTGCTCGCCCAGATCCAGATGCCCTTCCCCTGCACACATCATTTTAGAGCCCTTGGGCTGCTGACGGCGATGGCCCACCGCACCCTACCTGCGCCGTGGTCGCCCTGAGTCCCACTCCTAGCATGCCTGCACTGAGAAGGTGGCTTCTCAGTGTTACGAGCTGTGCCCGAGGGCCTCCGTGTATGACGGATGACAAGAGGCCCTCCTCGACTGCCGGAGAGGGACCTACCCACCAAAATGGAGGGGGCTCCTCGTCACGAAGGCCTGGCTTGGCTGTTACTACAGCTTCTGTGTTTTGGGTCTCCTCAAACGTGTGCTCAGTAAAATCAGCACAGTACAACTTGCTGACGGGAACAGTCCAACAGCGCCCCTTGGGCGGTGGCGCAGAGCACAGCGCTGTGGAAAAACACGCAGATTCGGAGCCAGCCAACCTGAGCTCAAATGCTGACTTTGCCATTTCCAAACGCGACCTGAGCAAGTGAGCTCAGCATCCCGTGCCTCGGTCTCCTCATCTCAGCAATGGGTCAACACCCCAGAGGGAGAAGAGTCACAAAGGCATCGTATAAACACTGGCGGATGTGGGTAACCAGACACTGATGCCCAGGGTTCTGGCGTGAGAAGAGGAGCAATCCCAGGTCGGGGAGCCTTTATCACCAGACGCTCCTGACGACACAGGGCCTTGGCCTTGGCCGATGGGATGGAAGAGCAGAGAGAACGGAAAGGTGCAGAAGAACACGCTCCTCATTCCAGGGCGGGCACCTCCTCATTCCTTCGTGCCAACAGAACAGCTCCTTCCCTATGCTTCCGTCCCACCCGGTAGGGTCCCCTCCTTGTGTACTTCGGCAATGGTCACTGTGAGGCCCCGGGATCAGGGTCTGGCCATGATGCCCTCATGGCCAGGCCAAGAGGGCAAGAACACTACCCGGGCCAGGGAGGCTTGGAAAGAAGAATCGTGGGCTCGGAATCAGGCACCTGAGAAGCCCACAGTTAGCAGCTCATCTCATCCGGGAAAAGAGCCAGACTCCTCTGTCCTTCAGATCTCAGTCCCAGAGCTGCCTGGGCCCACGCGGCTCACGTCGGCCCACCCCAAGTGACTTCCCTTCTTGGCCAAACCGCGGAGACCGCAACAAAGGCACCATGGCGTGCCCTGGCAACCAGACTCCAATGACGTGGCTAAGTCACCAATGGCGAGTTCGCACCAGGAACACTCAGGTCAGGCATATGGGGAGACAGGGTGTGGGGAGGGCGCACCCCGACCTCCTCCCTATCCTGGCTCCGCCTCCAGAAGTTTAGGGCCCCGAGTGTGAGCTCTAGCACACAGCTGACTTTCTAATTCTCCAGGCTTAGCTCCTTGATGGGAGATGAGGAAGAGCCATGGGCAGCTCCATGCAGCCCGCAGCCCACTGTCACCACGGGAACCTGGGCAGTCCCGAGCCAGAGAAAAACACTGCACTGATGGCAAAGGCTGGCTTCTTGAGAGCCCTCATCTGCACTCCCCTGATAATTTAACTATGGTGAAGTCAAGCACAAACCACACGCCCCAGGAATGCCTCTTAGGTACAAGCAAGGGTGCCGATGCCATCTAGGGCCAGCCCTTCTAGAAACCTACCCTGAAGAGACACCCACAGAAATGCAAAACAACAGATGCCCGACGTTACTGGCGACAACATTCTTTTCACCGGCTCAAGACTGTGGCCAAGCCAGACAGCCGCCGCCAGAGACCTGCTGGGCAGACGCCGACGTGCGCACCACGGAGAGCCGGGCGGCCCGAACCATGAGTGAGGGACCCCCAGGACCTCCTGTGAGGGGAACACCGTACACTGTAGGCAGCCCTCTGGGGGAGAAAAGAAGGGGACTTTAGGAAGCAGATGGCAAAAACGAAGGGAATCAGTCCTGGCACGGGGTAGGCAGGACCAAGGTGAGGACAGGAGCGAGGCGAGACCTCGCCGGGTGTGTCAAACCAGAATTTCAATTTCTGAATCATGTAAAAGTTTACATAACCAAAAACAAAATGAAAACAAAAGGGAACAGAAGGGAACATGCCTAGCATCCACGGAGGGGAAACAGGCTAGCCTGGGGAAAAGTGGGGGCTCCAGTTCTGGGGTGGCCTGTGGGGTGGAAAGGCAGGGCAGCACACAGGGGTGGCAGAAGGGTCAAAAGGACGTGGGCTGAAAGGGCTCCTCTGTTGGGCTATGCAGTGACCAGGTGACTGTCCAAAAGAATGAACTGATTAGAATATAGTTAAGAAAAAACCCACTTGGTGATGTTGGGGGAAGGAGAGAAAGACATAAAGGAAGTGAGGGTCCAATGGGCTTATGGGGGAAGAAGGTTCCAGGCAGCAGAGAGGCCTCAAGGGGGCACGTGGGGCTGTGTCGGGTTTTATTCTGAGTGTGATGGGATCCCTTTGGCTACTATGTGGAGAATGGCCTGCCAGGGACCTAAGTGGGCAGCAGGGAGCCTGTGGGAGGCCTCTTGGGGCGCTCTGGGCATGTGATCCGGGGCGAGGAGGGCAAGGACTGGGGACGTGACCAGGAGGTGGAGCAACAGAGCTGGCCGGTGTGGGGACGAGGGCCGGGGATGAGCTAAGGGCCATGGCCAAAGCCTGCGAGGATGGTGATGCCACCAACCGAGGATGACGAAGCCTGGGCCAGCAGCAGGGGGGGAGCTACAGCCACACCCGCGTCGAGAAGCTGAAGGAGCAGCTAACACAGCACCGTAACCAGCTACACTTCAACATAAACAAACCAAAAGAAGCTCAAGGAGGGGAGAACATAGTTCTTTGGCTACAAAGTGGGGAGGCCCCTGTGCCCGGACTCTGACTTAGCCTAAATGAACTGTTTGGATTTTTAGAATTTTTTATTGTGATAAAACAGACATAACATAAAATTTACCTTTTCCACTGTTTCTAAGTATACAATAAATGACGTTTCAATAGCACCAAACATGGGAATAAAAAGGCCTTTAACTCTGTGATTATTCTAGCTCTTTTAGATTGATATTACTTGGGACTTCCCTGGTGGCGCAGTGGTTAAGAATCCGCCTGCCAATGCAGGGGACACGGGTTCGAGCCCTGGTCCGGGAAGATCCCACATACCGCAGAGCTACTGAGCCCGTGTGCCACAACTGCTGAGCCTGCGCTCTAGAGCCTGCGTGCCACAACTACTGAGCCCGCATGCCCAGAGCCTGTGCTCCGCAACAAGCGAAGCCCCCACTCGCCGCAACTAGAGAAAGCCCACGCCCAGCAACGAAAACCCAATGCAGACAAAAGAAAAAAAAATTGAAATTACTTGAAGCAACTGTGAGAATATGGTGATTTTCAATTCTGTGCATTGAGGAGCACAGAGGTGTTTGGTACTTTATTTTCTGACTGCTACTCCTCTGCTTAAAAACAAATAAAAGCCCACGAAGAAGTCTGGAAGCCATTCTGCTGGGTGTGGAGTGGAGGCAAAAATGATGGAAAACAGGTAATCCAAATGAGTTTACCCTCGGCCCAGCCACCTGCTCAGTGCCAGGGTGACCTGAGGAAGGGGGCCAGGCTGGGGTACTAGGCGAGTACTCAAGGCCCCCCACCAGGAGGATTATAGGGTTTGCTGAAACACACTTTTTCAAAGAAACCAAACAGGGACTTCCCTGGTGGTCCAGTGGCTAAGACTCTGTGCTCCCAATGCATGGGACCAGGGTTCGATCCCTGGTCAGGGAACTAAGATCCCACATGCAAGCCGCAACTAAAAGATCCTGCATGCCGCAACTAAAGATCCCACATGCCGCAACTAAAAAGATCCCACACACCACAACTAAAAAGCCTGCGTGACGCAATGAAGATCCCACGTGCTGCAACTAAGACCTGGCTCAGCCAAATAAATAAATAAATAAATATTAAAAAACAAAGAAGAAACCAAACAGCCCTCCAGACCGTGTATCTCTGCATGCATGTGCGCACACACACACACCTGCTGAGAGGACCGTGAGAACTGAGCACCTAGTTCTTAAGTTCACACGTTTTAGAGTTGGGGGTATTCACCTGTTCAACTCTTCAGTGTTATAGGTGAAAAGAAAAGCAAGTACAACCAGACAAGGGAACCTGCCTGAGGTCATGCCTGAGTTGACGTGTGTTCATCGACTGCCCTTGCCCTGAGCCAGCCTCTGCTAGGGGCTGGGAGGCCAGGGTAGAACCAGCATCATTCTCTGGTCTTCTAGAGCTCCCAATTTCGGGGGCGGGGGTGAGGGGAGGCAACAAAGAAAGAGCGATCCTCTCCTCTGTTCCAGGCACGGAGGAAGCCCAGACACAGCTGGGTGTTTAGGGCTGAGGAGGAGTGCTTATCCCAGTCCCAGGCCAACAAGGAGTGCTCGGGGCAAGCCAGACCAGGTGGGCCCGGGCGGGCGGCACTATCAATAGCCCTACCCTGTCACCACTGTGACACCCCTCCCTGGAGGGAGAAGCGAGTCAGGATAAGCATTCTGTGTAACAGTGGCTCTGGGCCAGCCCTCGCTCTCGTCTTCCGATAGGCCTTCCCTGCTCCACGCACAGTGCATTTTGAATATGCCACCCCGCCGCTCAACCCCCCAGACAGCGTGCATCTTCCTTCCTGTCGTCTCCCTGCTCGGTGCACAGGAGCAGCGCTTAATAATTCTGCCAAGGGATGATCACAACGCACATGTTATGCTACCTCCGCTTCCTCTGACGGCCCCATTCCCCTGCCCATCAGCTTCAAGTAGCATGGGCTAGTTTAGCACGCAAAGCAGTAGGCTTGTGTCAGTGAGTACATGATGACTTTGGACGCCTGGGCCCTGGTGGGTCGGGGTTGGCAGGAGATGACGCTGGAGTGGTCACCGAGGGCCCAGAAAGGCAGATGGTGACGTCTACAGTGATGGAGAGG